AGTTGATTTGTGAAAAAATAATAATTCCTGAAGTAGTTGTAGTTAATTAAAAAAGTTTATTGGGACAATAAGAAATTTAACAATTACAAAATTTCTTTTAAATTGATCACTTTTACATTTAAGATGATACATTATATCGTGATCAAAATTTTCCAAATGAATAATTATAAAATTGGTTACACATTTTCTTAAAACATTTCTCAAAGTGTTACGAAAATCTCCAAAAGTTTCGTTTACTCTTATGAAAACAAACTCTTCACGATACGGATGTTTAATTACTTTCATTTTAAATCGTCCAAAAAATCTTTGTATAAAGCTCCAAGATCCTTTATCTTCTTAACACCAGTGATTATAACTTTTTTTGACCGGAAAAATATAACAACTGGTCCTTTTCCACTTTTTCTCCAATATATCCCAGGAAATAATTCAGGTTCCCAAGAGAAACGTTTATTATAAAAAATCTTGTTAAAGTCAAAATCAAATCCAATTGTACTTGATCCAGTGATATTTAAAATCTTTCTCTTGATGATTTTTCCTTGACCAACAATATCATCAGCTATTTTCTTGGACTCCTTTAAACTTTTTGTTCCAGTTACTGTGAATTTTTTACTTGAAAAAACCAAAGCTTTACCATTTGAATATTTAACGATTGCTCCACTAAATCGTTTTGGATTATAATCAGCGTACTTTGTTGGGTCAAGTTTTACTGACGCTTCATATGAAACTACAATGTTTACGATCCTCATGTTGAATAACAACTGATGTTTTATACAATCCTCCTCCTTCTCACTCTCATCTTGGTCTTGATAGGATCTTACTTGCTCACTCAACTTGATCTCCCGAAAATCCTAGGTGTCGCTTAAGTCGAAGTGACTATATAAGACGAGACGATTGTTAGTTTTGTTCATTCTCAAAGTTCTCTTCAACCTTTAAACTTGTGAAACAGTTACATTTTTTTCCTCAACACTAACCATTCTCAACTATTATTTTCTACAGTGAAAAATGGCTTCATATAAATCCGGTAAACGACAAGCTGAAAACGTTACAACAGACTCTGACTCTGAAATTGAAGTGACCAAAAAACGTAAACGGGTCGATTTTAACGAACTTTTCTCTATCAAGTTATCTCCATACCATAAATATCATTGTGCTATTACCAATGGAAAAGCTGAAAAGGATAATATTCTTTTTGTCAATATTCGTGATGGATATTCTGTTTATGGTGCTGGTAAAGGATTGGTTCTTGGATATCAAGAGATTGTCCACATTGAACAACATCTCAACTATACAGAACCTCTTCCTAAATACAAAGCTACTGGTTTACGTCTCACCGGTAAACCAAAAAATGGAAAATATGAATTTACTCGTCAAAAAGGTGATAAGAAAACTATTCTCAACCTCCCAATAACTGTTATTGCCGGTCTCCATCGTATCATTCCATCAATACGATTCATTATGGAAACTATCATAAAGCTTGGAGATGAGAAACAATCACAAATTGACGAGTTTGTACGAAAAGTACAAAAGGCAGTAATGGTTTACATCAAGGATCTTGAAGATAACAACGGGGACTTCACTAAAGCTGATCTTCGTAAAATGTGTTGGATTTACACTGGACTTATTGCCTACTTCAATATTCCAGTCTTTGACAATCCATACGAACCATCAAAACTCGGAGATATCTACGGAGTCAAAGTCGATGATGAGATGCAGACTCGAATTACTGAAGTCATTGACTATGTCATCATCAAGGTTTTCATTTAATCTTACTCATCACTTATTAACCTGATGATGAAATACTTTTCAATTATATCCATTGAGATACAGCTGTATGTATCAACATAACCTTTTTCCATGGATACAATCGTATCACTTTAATTATAACCTATTTTCAAGATACAGCTGTATGTGTCCTTTTAATTATACCATTATTTAATCAATTAAATACATTTTGTAGCCATTAATTACATTGATTATAATTATTCTGGTAATAAAATGGACATTCTATACACTAGAAACAATTCTTCACCTTCGAAAACCCTTAAATACACTTGAAAAGTATATATAATAGGTATTATACATGTTAAAACCATACAGAAAAATTTTCGATTTTTAGTTACATCAGCCGTCGATAGGTGTCACTAGGTTGTCCATAAACTTAATCTTGGATGCTTGACAAACTTTCGACCATATTAATATGTTTACTAAATAATAGATGTCGTTATATGTATTATATCGAAACTACAATTTACAATACAATTAACACAATATAGATGCACTGTTAACGCTTGAATACAATCATTATCTATTATTCCCATTGTATTCTTTAGAAAAAGTTGACCATCTGCTCGTTAAGATTTTTCGTAAACAAAACCATCAATCACATTGACGTTTTGTTAAAAACTCAACATACAATTAACTATAAGCACAAAAGCAATTTAAATCATTTCTATAGATGAAAACTGTCAAGATTAACAATTAACAATGGTTAGAAACAGATTTACAAAGCTGCATTGGAATTTCGTTTGTTCGATTGGTAATTGTATATTTCGAACATAAATCATTTGAATTGATTATAATTGTCAAAATTAACAATGCACAATGGTCAATAATAGATTCTAAAGGGTAAATTGCAATTTCGTTGGGTCAACTGGTTATTATTCACTTCGAGTATAAATACCCCGAAAAAGTTTCTAAGGTCAATTAATTGTGAAAATGGGTCGTAAGAGAAGTATGAAAGCGAAAAGAAGAGGAAAAAATTTCGCCAAAGTTTTAGAATTAGAGATTGAGAGACAGAAAGAATTAGCTCTTTGCAAACAGTTCGGTATCGATAAAGTAGTTTATGTTTCCCTTCCTTTAATTAATCTTGATGATGTGCCCTCTCCTCCACCTCAAGTTCCTCTTCAAGTTCCCGATCCTCCAAAATGTCCCACTCCGGGGATAATCGTAGAACCGATTTCCCCGGCATCATCACCATTAATCGTCAATGACGATATTGTTCATCTTTTTGATGATAATTATTGTGAGGAGGCTCGAAGCCTGGTGACCTTCGAGCCTTCTAAAAGTGATATTGATGAACTCTTCGTCCTTTTGGACGAGAGTTCGAAAAATATGTGTTCATCATCATCATCACAATCATCTAACGATGATAATGTTTTTATTAAAAACAAATTGTGCGAGTTGGAAAACTCAATCAATAAACTTTTCGACTTGGTCGAAAAGTTAGTTCGAAACAAATAAAAAAGTTTCACCGTTAATTGTTTTATGTGTCCAATTTATTTCGTGTTTCGTGTTTCTTTCTTTTTCTCTTTCTTTTCTCTTACTTTTTATTTTCTCTTACTCTTTCTCTTTCTTCTCTTTCTTCTCTTTCTGTGCCAGTGAAGCCTTTTTTTAACTACTAACATTCACCGAGTTTAATTCGGTTTTTCAGTTAATGGAAAAGCCCTTAAGTTGATTCTAATTGATTAGAAAAGGAGTAATTGAAGTAAAATTAATATACAATATCAATTATTATCTTTCATCATGGTGACAAAAAGCAAGAGAGAGAGAGAGATAGAGATAGAGATAGAGAGAGAGAGAGAGATGGAGAGAGAGAGAAGATGAAAGTTCATCTTAAAAATAATCGCATGAACAATTGATGAGGATAAAGTGAAGCTAAAGAAAATGAAAGCTAATGGACTTGCGAAAAGCAACATTTACATTGGTCAATCTCACATTTTGACTCAACTGAGTGACCCAAGAGTCCAGTCAATATTTGGACACGACATTTTAATAGAAACACACATAATAATATGAACAGTAATGAGTAAAGGCAACAACCATAATGATCGATAGTCTCTTGAGTCAATCGATTTCCTGTTGATCGCATAGTCACTTTCAATTGAGATCATTTCATTCAGTTTTATCTCCATCTCTTTTTCACTCTTTCTAATAATATTATTATCTTCTTCCTCTCCGTTTCCATATAATCATCATCATCATCATCATCATCATTATCATCATAAGTTTTATCATTATCACTCTCATTAGTCAGTAGCCATTGGTCAGTATTAAAAGTCATTTCTTGTTCCTCTGTCCCTTGTTTACTATTTTTCATCAACAGGGAAGATGAAACTTTTAATATTATCATGATAATCATTTCGTCTCATTATTATTATGTATATTTTTATTTTTCCAATGAGATTTAAGTGTTATTCAAGCATCTATTTCATTTCTATTCATTGATCACACCCAATTGAATTTAACCCTGTAGCTCTTGAGTAATATACATACACAGAGTAAACTCTCACTTGTTAACTAATGATAATATTACAAATACGATTGATAATGATGAGAAAAGTTGAGACTTGAAATTGATCATCATGATGGAAAACAAGATGAGGAAGAAGAAGATGAAGAAAAAAAAATATATTCTTACTGAATAATATCATCATCTCATTAATTTGTCTTCGGTGTATCAACAAACTCTCAAACTTATATATATATACATAAATATCATGGATATAAAGTAATGATGAAAAGACAACAAAATATATATTAAAGAGATAGAAGTCATTTAATGAGTTGATTTGTTAATTTGCATAAATTGCTTCCAAATTACAGATCATTTCATTTACATGTTATAACTTTTCCTCTCTCCCCATTATGATTAACATTATTATTGAATTCATTTTATTATTATTCTGATGAGTTAGTAACTCTTGTTGATATATAAATTCACTGATTGGTTAATGGTTTATTAGGAGAAGAGATAAAATTAGATTAAACATGAAATTGTCTATTCAGATTGAGTTAATTCAATTCACAATTCTAATCTACATCTCAATGAGAAAAAGTATCATGGTCACACTGATGATTATTCTGTTCAGGGAGAGAGAGAGAGAGTGAAAATTTCCTACTGATGAATTGATTGATTGTTGAATCGTTTCAATGTAAATCAAATTTTCCAAATGTAATCAATTGTTTTAATCAAATTTCTTGTTTTCTTTTCCCAATCTCAGGAATCTTCGTGCTGAACGAACCTTTATCCATACCAATTTGTGCCTTTGTCTATTAGCGGTTCAACTGATTTTCATCTTGGGCATTGATAAAGTTTCCCTTGGTGTATTTTGCTCAATTATCGGTGCAACTCTTCATTATTGTCTATTATCATCATTCTTTTGGATGCTCATGGAGGGAATTCACCTTTACTACATGTTAATTGAGGTTTTTGAACCTCCATCATCTCGTTTACCAATTTATTTTATCACTGCCTATGTTTCACCATTAACTATCATTGGACTCACCCTGGGCTTATCTAGATCACCCTATGGTGGTGGTGGTGGGTCAACATCATCGGTTTGCTGGATAGATTCAAGTGTTGTCCTTCAATCATTTGTCCTTCCTTTGGGTCTAATACTTACTTGTAATCTTGTTTTCCTGGTTATCGCTCAATGTGCCATGTGTAAACATATATCAACCTCTTTTGTCCATAAAGAGGTCAAGCATCAGGATAGGATTAAAAGAATCAGGTAATTACTATTCTTAATCTCTAATTATCTTCCTCTTAATCCAATATCTGTTAATCCCCTTTCCGTCTTATATATACAAAAGTTTATCAAGTCATCAATTGAGAGTTTAATTCAATTCAATTGTCGTCATCGTCATGTTTATATCGCTCGTTGGTCAATCAACTCAATCGTCCCATCGTCTTTCAATTTCAATTGTACCTCATGATAGTTTCATGAAACGTCAATTTTACATGTATTCATATAATTATCGTGTCTTTTTCACTGTTTACCGTTAATTAATTAGTCGGTAACTGTTTACCATGATTACTTACGGTTTAATAACCATAACCATCAACAACAAGTATCATATGAATCTGATGGTTAACTGTTGATGGATAAAGTTGTAAACAGTTTTTGAGTTAATCAAAATTTTAAATTTTACTCATTTCTGTTTTTAAAACTGTAGCTAATTTAATTGATTCAGCCTTCATTTCAGTTGACTGATTAATTAACTAATTTATCACAATCAATGGCCCAGGTAATAGAAAGTGATTTATCTTGAAAAGGGAAACCTAAAATTTTGTTGAGTTGACGTTGTTATTGTTGTTAATTTGGATTAATTTCTCAAACTAATTGGTTGATTAAAAATGATCATCAACAAGTGACAACAATTAAAAAGTATCATTGAGAGATTATCATGTAAATAACAATCAACTTTACACCAAACTCTGGAAGTAAATTTAATTATCACCATGGAGAGAAAAGGAGATTTGTTGTCATTTAATTATTTCAATAGATTAAACTAATTCTGTTCTGATTACTGAGAAATTGAGATCAGGGTAAAGATGCATGAGAATTAATATTTTCCAGTTGATTTACCTGATTAAATTTTTTGGTTTTGTTCCAGGAAGAAGAAAAAAAAAGTTTTCTCTTCTGTAATTAATACTCATTATTTTTGATTATTCTGCTCATTAAGTTGAAATAATTTCATGATAAATTTAGTTGTTTTCTCATGATAATCTCAATTTATATACTTACAGGTAATCAGAAGCAAATATCTGATTATCATACGGATTAAATGAGTGAGGTTTAGTCATGAACTTTTGAGGATTGGATAGTTTATCAGAAATGATTACTAATAAAGATAATTGTTCAATTTTGACTCTTAATTGTTTACTTTTATTCACAATTATCATGTAATTTTATCGGTTGATTTTTTTTTTACCAAAACAAAGATAAATGAATGAACCTTTTCAAGATGATTTAAAAGATGAAGTGATGATGAGAATCCGATGAGAGTAAAAGATATCTCTGAATAATGTTATCCATCGTTGATAATATTACCTTGATTCCCTGAAAATGACCAATAAACTTGAATTAATCTGTTGGATTAATGGATGATCAGTAGGTGAGGATCAATTTCTTTTGGGAAAAGATAAACATTCTTACTTTATATAATATAAGATCAAGGATAATCCTTTTCTCTCTCTCTCTCTCTCTTTTCTTGTTGCTCTTCATCATTTTCATCTTCATCTTTGGGTAAATCGTAAGAGATTAGGAAAAGGTTGAGAAGACAAAAGATCCATGATGATGAAAAGAGGATAAGGACATAAAAGAGTTGAAAATAATAGTAAGAATTGTGGATAAAAATGATCAACTAATCAACTATTAATACAAACAAGGAAAAAGATTCACTTGATCTGTTAATTTTATCTTTGGGATGGTTTTCATTAACTTAAGGCTTTAATCAGTTCTCAATGATTCAACCATCGATATTGATGTTTGCAAGTAAAAGGATTCTCCATGTAAATGATTATTATCCTTGATCATCAGCAATTAGATGTACAATTTACTTATTCCAAGTTAATTGGTTTGTATTCTTGTTCCATGTTGATGTTAATACTTTGAAAGAAAATGTCACTTAACTTGATTGTTTCAAAGTTCCTATTGATCATTTCTGTTTATTTTCGTATTTTATTATTATTATTTTATTCTCATTTCTTTTTTTTGATTCTCATATTAATCTTGAATTCATATTCTTTTTCCCTGATAATATTTATACTGATGGTGATCGATAATGTTTATTAATTGAACGACACTTAATTCAATTTATGGTTGACTGGATCATGATGATTATGATTGAAAACACAAACTCACTCACACAACATGAACTTCATCTGAAACATTGGTTTGCTTTTTGTTCATTTACCTGAATATTATGAAACATGTTCACCCATATTTCTCATCATCATCATCTCATCATTTTCATTATCAACATCATCACTTACCTTTCTTTCAATTTCTTCTGGTTCATTCATCTTTCCATCATCATGATAACAACCATCTCTCTCTCTCTCTCTCAATTTCTAATTTCTTTTTTTGCTTCGTCTTCTGTTGACATGTTACACCAACCGACCTGCATTTTCATGATGAAACATGAACAACAAACTTGATACATCAACTAACTAACTTGGGGCTTCCCTTATATTTAATTTTTAAATTATAATAAATTATTAATCAACTGAATGAAAACTTATTCACAGACGCCAAGCAATTCTAGTTTCAAGATATAAGCAGCTTATGTGAGCATCTTATCATCATTACACTGAATAGTTTCATCTAATTTTCCTCTTCCTTTTCCTCCTCCCAGTCAATTTTAGATTTAATTATATCTCATCTTCCTCTCTCTCTCTCTCTCTCTCTCTCTCTCTCTCTCTCTCTCTCTCTCTCTCTCACTCACTCACTCTTGTTAGTCTATGATAAAAATACTTTTCGCTTTATCTTGAGCTTGAAATTATATTCGCAACAACTAGTTGCTTTAATTGAGCTCAACTTACATTTAGCTCAACATTTTATTCATCATCAGCTTCAGTCTAAGATTATTTATCATCATCTTCCTCTTTCTCTCTCACTTCTTCCTCTTCTTCTATGATATTATGATAACCAACAAATTACATCTTCTTTTGTCTTGAATCTCTCTCTCTCTCTCTCCTCTTGGTTCCTAATCTGGTCCCAATTCCTGTTGATACTTTTTTCTTGATGGAAACCAAATGATAGTCATACCATAACCATAATAGTTATCATGATAACAACAATAATAATAATAATAATGACGATAATGACGATAATAATAATGATAACAATCATCATAACCATCATGATAATGATGATGATTATTATTATGCTTCTGTCAAAATGGAAAAATAAATTTATGCAAATTAAAGTAACTCAGCAAGGAGATTATATTTCATAGGAAAAAGAAATGATAATCAACAAATATAAGAGAGAGAGAGATAAATATTCTTACCGTTTCCATTTAATATCTTTTATCATGTTTTATATAATCAACAGAACAATTAAATTGTCTAGATAATATCGTTAACAGTTAATCAATCAAATGAACATTAAATCATATAACTGATTAGTTGAATATCAAAATTTGACATGATAAATTGTTGAGCATTTTAAATGATCAGATATTTATTTTTACCTCTACTTAGTTTAGATTATCATGATTTGTATGTTCATCTAACAAGAAATTCAATTAACCAAATTGAATTTAGAATGAAGAAAAAACTTGATTTTCGATGATTAAATTTTAATTTAAATTTAAGAGAAGAAGAAAAAAAAGTTGATTAGATAAAATTGGAAACAAAATTAAATCCTAATTGTGTCAATCAAAAGCTTATCGAATCAGTTAAATCAAGTTTGATGACATTTCATTTTTTTTTATTGATGAACAATTTGTATCTCAATTAACCAACTCAATAGATAATATTAACCAATCGTAAATACGTTTTCAATTTGATTTGATTGTTGATCTAATTGTTGTATTAACTTTGATTATTTTCTAATAGGTTATGGGCTCGAGGATCACTTGCTCTGGTCTTTTTATTGGGATTAACTTGGACCTTTGGGATAATCTATGTAACTTTTCCTGGTCTAATTACTGCTTATCTTTTCACCGGATTCAATGTATTCCAAGGATTTTTCATCTTCATCTTTTCATGTTTAATTAATGAACAAGTTCGTCGGGAATATATTCGAACTGTATCAAGATGCTCATGGTTATCATGGTTATGTTGTCAATTATGTTCAACTTTTGATGGAGAAAAGATTAATTCATCAAATCCATTAGATCGAGCTGCTTTTTTCCATCCTTCATCTCATCAACATTCATCCTCATCACCAACAACTCATCATTCATCCTCTTTGATTCAAGCTACTTCAATAACCTCTTCTACCAACACCACAGCTAAACCTTCATCTTCAGGATCCTCTGCTGGTGGTGGTGGTTGTGGTGGTCAAGGGATTCCACTATCATCATGTCCTTATCCTGATACATCTTTCTATCCAGAATCAGAAGAGCCAATGATTGGCTCAGGTTCATCTCAATTACTTTCATCGGCTCGTAAAATGATGACAACATTAGAAGATGGAACCACTCGGATTTATGAACATTCAACTGATCCTGATATTGATTGTGAGATGGAAACCAGAGCTCTCATGGAAGGATTAACTCATTCAGATGCTACCTCAGGTCCTTTGAGACCAATAATCATGAGAGGTGATGTAAGTTTAACTCGAATACCTGGTGAACATTTATATGAATGTATTCCTGAAGATTCTGTTTATCATTCAAACAATTTGCTACATTCAAGTGGATTAAATTGCTCACCATCAACAACACCAGGACAATTTCAACAGAGTTCCAATTATTTACACCATAATCATTCATATCATCAATATCAACAACCATTATCATCAACTTATGTCCACCATAATAATCATCAGCATCACCAAACTATTCATCCCTCTCAGAATCATTCTGAATATCAGCAGCTTCATCAGTTTATCAATAATAAACATCCAATCCATTCAACCGGTAAAATTGGACGAGCCAACAATATTCGTGATAATAATCAATATAATAACATGATGATGATCGGCCCAAATAATACACTTGACCGAAGGTCAAATTTACAACGTTCTAGTGCTTCTAATCATCGAGGCTCATCAGATGAGCTTTTACCTGCAATAATTAGGGACAATACTCGTTCACCTTACGGTTTAACCTCATTGGCATCAACTTCTAATCACCAGCAGCAACGAACTCCTGATGATTTGATTGCTTCTCCCTCCTCCTTGTCATCATCTTCCACCTCATCGGAATCATCATCAACGTCCAATCTTCCAACAACTCGACTTAATATTCCGGTTGCACCACAATCGCCGAAACGAAAACAAAGTTCGAGTAAAAAGTTACGATCTAATAATAAGAAGCCGAAAACAGTGTTTGCCAAATTGAAAGGGAATCAAATTGTCACCACAACGGGAACAATCAATGGAGATTCTTGTTGATTGATTGAGTTAATCATCAACTGATTAAAACAATTAATTGTAAATTAACTCGCTGATTAACTTGATTTGTTTCTTTCTCCTCTCATCAAATGTTATATTCCCAACATTTTCACTTTCATTGCCACTCAAATTGTCTCTGAGAACCAAAAATTTTAAACGTCAACAACAATTAACTAATCATTACAATTAACAAAAACTACAAAGGCTCAAAAATTTTATACATTGATTTGTCTATTAATATAATTAATACAATTGTAATCATATTTAAATTGAAACTGTCCAAATCTTTTCCTTTTGTCAATACTAATTTTTGTAAAAATATATCAACCAAATTGTGAAGGAAAAAAGTCAAAATCAATTGATTATATTAATTGATTAGCCACAAATAAATAATAATATTGACCAAACAATCAGTTAATTTTGTGATAATTTATACAATTAGTAAGATAAATTACTTTGGATTACTTTGATTGTTGATGATCAGTTGATCAATTATTTAATTGTTAAGATTGATTGAATTTACTAGGATAAGTTAAGATGAATTCATTACAATGATTGTAATCTAAACGATATTATCAAATGCGAAGTTGCAATTAAATTTAATTGTCTACAGTGGAAACAATTAAAAGATGATTTACTTTTTCAAGGTGAGTGGTTTTAATTTCTGCAAATTTTTCCATTAAATCGGAGGTAATTTTTTTGCTTCTTATCAACAATTAAGAGAGCGAGAGAGAGACAAGTTAATTAGTCCATTTGATTAGTGACTTTTTGTTACTATGCAAGTTAATTAACGAAAACAACAACAACAACAACAACAAACAATAACAATCAATGTGATTACATGAATATCTCATGTTTGTTTTACAATTAATTGTAATCAATTATGTTCTAGTTTTAAGTGATTGTCATTTTCATTATAATGTACATACAATTTACACTTTGCATCGCAACCGGAACCGGAAAAGAGTGAGAAAAAAAGAAGACATCAGAGGAAAAGAAGATGGAAAAGTCAGAGAAGATGAAGAAGAAGATGATGATGATGAGAGAGAGAGAGAGAGAGAGAATTGGTGGGAGGGGGACAAGAAGTGATGTTAATGCGGAAGATTGGGAAAAATTCCCACAGGCACTCGGTGTTCATGTGACTGTATTATTATTGATTCTGTGAGCATCATGATTGTTCAATTTTCTCAAGGCAAATATATCCTTTTTAGAGGGTAGAAAGACAAACTGATGAAGATGAAAGTGAAGACGTTTATATTATATTATAAGTAGTGAGTATTAAAAGTCTAAGAAAAATATTATAAAAGAGACAAAGTTTCTTGATGATCAATCTTAATCAAACTCAATTAAAGTTAATCAGATCAAACAGTCAACTACTAGTGTGTGTGTATATATATTGTTACTTTGGTAAGTTAGTTAGTTAGGAAACTCAACAATCTTAATTTTTTTTTCTTCTTCTTCTTCTTCATCATTTTTATCATCTTCGTTGTAACTGAGATTCACGAGTCTCTCACTCATCATCATCATTATCAGCATCTTCATCTTCATCAACTCACAAAATGTTATCATCATCTCACTGAATACTCTCAATTATCATCACAATTACAATTCTTGACAATTTTTTTATTCTTTTTTTTTCTCAACAGAACTTTTTTTTTGCTTCTTCTTTTTTTTCTCGTTTTCAATGGTTCTAACTTGATTCTTTGCCTAACAAAGCAAAGTTAATTGTTATTCCTGCTAATGGGCAACACTTAATCAACATAATCTGCATCAAATTAGTTGTCAACAATTGTTAATTATGTGCTAAATTGTGATAACAACAAAGTTTATCTTCAAGTATTAAACAATCAACATAATTATTGTAGTTTAAAAACAAAGTAACAAAATCAAAGGGAAAATGTTTCAATCATTTTATCAATACTTTTTGATATTTTCTGTTTTTATCTTCACAATTGTGACAATTTCATCAACTGGGTCACATTTTGATTCTGTTGATGGTGATTTAATTGCTGATAATGATGAAGATGATGATGATGATAAACGTTTATTTGTTAATAAAACTCATCGATCCAGTCGATTCAATATGTCGATTCGTTTCACCAATAATCGGGAATCAACACCATTGGAACCTTATGTTAGACTTTCATCATTATTATTCAAACCTTATCGTTATCATGTTCACTGGGATCTTACTGAAGGAATTGAAACTTTCTCAGGAACTGTTAACATTTCATTCATGGTTCTTAAATCGACAAATTGTCTTAACATTCAGATAAACACGCTTAATATCAGTTCACTTTCCCTGAAATATCAAGATTCCGGTGATACCATTTTGGTGACAAAAAGTTGGCTCAGTAAATCGGATATTTATGTTATCGAAACTGTTGATAATGTTACTGACCATCAGATGATTTCAATGTTTATCAAATTTACAGGAACTTTTCAAAGTTTAGGTTTTCTTATCCATCAAACAACAACACCAATAACAAGGTGAGCTAATTAATACCAATTTCTTAATTAAATGATTTAACCTTGAAAAAGAAAGATTGATAAAATTAACAAGAGAAGAGAAAGAAAAAAAAAATATCGCGAAAATTAGTTTTCCAATTCTAAACTAGATGGCAGCTCCAATCAGAACAAACTTTTAGATAAAGTTTCAAAGCGAAACCATAACAACTCAAAAGTGTCGCCTCTCAATGGTAATGAAAGGAAACCTTTTTTATCGAGAGGGAAATTCAAATTTTCCATCTTAAAACAACCACCTGATTGATTAAATGGAAAAGTAAATTAGAAATTGACAGTTGACAATCATTTAACAAATTCTGTTGGTGTTAGTTTAATTTGGTTGTCGTTTTGATGATTGTATTTTTTTGTGTTTTTTTCTTTTCAAATAGATACACTTACATGACGAAATTTGAACCAATCCATGCTCGAAAAGCTTTCCCCTGTTTCGATGAGCCCGATATGAAAGCTCATTTTAAAATTAGTGTTAAACATAATTCATCATTGAAAGCTTATTCTAACATGCCCTTGGAAAGTATTGTCAACAGTTCTGAGATTGACTCTCAGAATTGGAGTATATCAACGTTCAAGGAATCACCTCTAATGACGACGTATCTTGTTGCTCTCGTTGTTTGTGACTGTCAACGTTCAATTGCATCGACATCACGAGGAGTAGAGGTGAGAAAGTCAAGTACATTATCAGTATATTGATGAAGGAAAATTAATCACTCTCTCAATTTTATCTTCCTTATATATTCAGATCGGAATAATAACATTGAAAGAAGACTCGAATAAAACAGATTACGCTTTATCTATTACCGTTAAGTGTATGGAATTTTTTCAACAATATCTTGGGATCGAATATAAATTCCCGAAATTAGGTTAGTATATTTATATTCTTAACAAGAACTTTGTTCAGATTTTATTCAGATCTCCATGAAAACAAAAACGACCAAGAAAACTTTACATCGAGTTGAATGGTAACTCACTAGATGTCATTTCGATTCCGCGAAAATTTTCCGACTTTTGATATAAAAAAAAACGATTACACTTTAATTGATCAGCATGATACTGATTTTCCAGGAATTGTTCAGTCGTTAAGCTGAAAAAATCCTTAGAAAAACAATCATTACGAACATTCATTGAGAAGAAAAGTTTCTCTATTCCTTTGATCTATCAAGGTTATTTACTATTATTTCATGTTCGATAAATTAGTGGAATTCATCTAGTCAATTATATCAATTCTATCATGTTATTATTATCATTATATTTTCACCATTCGATTATCAAATGTAAACATTAAAAGATGAACAAATTGTTTATTCAACCAAAATTCTTGCTGGAAGAAAAAATTATAATCAATTGGCTCGAAATTTGAACATTCATATGGCAAAGAGATAAATTATTCATCTGAACGATGAAACGATTTTTTCATGATGGAAATCTATCTGAACTGTTTAACCATTGATGATCAAGATTATCTTTATTGTTAGAAATGAAGAGAATAATAATTTAATTCTGTTTCTATTAATAGATATTTTCGCTGCTCCACATTATCCATCATTCGGAATGGAACATTCTGGCTTAATTATCCAATTCTATCATCGAATCTTATATCAAAAAGATGGCGATTATGAGGTTTACAATAAGGAATGGATTCTGTATACAACAGCTCATGAAATCGCTCACCAAGTGAGTTATCAAATTGAAAAGAAATGTTAATCCAATTAACGATTTAAACTTAATATTTATCCATCAAGTGTGTCATTTGATTCATTATACTTGATTCATTAATCTATCTCCATTCACGAATAGTGGTTCGGTAATCTGGTAACACTACGCTGGTGGGAACACACTTGGCTTAATGAGGGTTTCGCCACGTACTTTGCCACCAAAGCTGTCGAACATGTTGACCCTGGAATGTCCTCTGATGATCTATTTTTAATCAATCGATATCGAACCTCACTTGCATACGATTTACGTGGTATTTACAATCCATGGAATCGGACAGTAGCACCGATAGCAAATGCTAATCAGATAAAACAATCTTTCAGTTGGTTAAGTTATCAGAAAGGTGGAAGCATTTTAAGAATGATGGAAGACTTTATTCACCATGATAACATGACCAAACTGATTCGATCCTATTTAACTAAACATTCTGATTCCAATGTGGTTACTCGGGATTTCAGTGAAGAGGCTGAAAAATATTATTCAGAGGTAAGTTTGATATCCATTGAAAGGAAAAAATCTCACCAACAACTCAAGTGATCATCATGTTAATTAAATTGTCCAAATTGATAAACAATCTTTGTGTCCTACCAATAGGACACTTGAAGAGCTCGAATACAATTAGAGAGAAAATTTCAATCATCTTTATCACTTGTGAGCGAAAATTATTTCAATATATTATTCAGTTGATCTGATTCATTATTGATTTTCAAAGTGAATTTTTATTCTTTCATCAATCAAATGAAAAACAAGCTCATCGAATCTGAGTATTTCCTCGAATAGTTATCATTTATTATTATTACTATTTTCTCTGTGAATTGAATAGGAAATTTAATCCTTTGTTCGCATGGTGTTTAACTGAATTTTGAAAAATGTTCTTTTTCACAGAACTTTTTTTTTCTTCAACCTTTGATGAGGAAGAAGATGAAAAATATTATTATACATAATGTACGAACTTATCATCAACCCATTTCACTGAATTATCTTCATCATTATCATCATCTTTCTGTTCTTGTTCATGTTTACATGGGGTTTAAACCAACACTCTTTTTCAATTTCCAAATGAAAACAGAGAGATAGAAAAAAAAAGTTCTCAACTCGATTTTTTCTTCTCCATCCTGATTTCTATTCATATTCATTTGCTTGTAAAGATAAATGGGAACTCTATTGAAAAGTGTAATATTTTTATGAGTAAACAGCGAAAAAAGTAAATGAATTCAAGTCACCAAACAGAATCAAAGACTCAGAGACAATGGTGAGCATGAAATAGTTTCCATTTTTCATTTGATAGATTTAACATTTAATCTTTCGAGTCAATCAAACTTTTATCAAGGGGACAAAGAACATTATATCAAATAAAAAAGATTCGAATAAGGTCACTTGTTCCACTAACCCGCGATCCTCGAACTCTAATATTTTATGGATCATTGGACAAGAACTTTATTTCTCCATGTTGTTTACTCGCAATCAGAAACTGGGAATTTTCTCTCCCTGTAGATTATAAGATAAAGTGATTTCTTTTTCGTTCTGTAAAACTGAACATTAACTAAAGATAATCTTTTTTATATTTTTCGTCTAAAAGTATATTCGGATTAGTTGATTAAGTCTACAGTCAATACGTTGGTTTCATATTTTTTCTCTCTCTTTCTCTCATTCTTTTGTTTTTTCTTTGGATTATCTATTCTTATATTATTCTTATATTATTCTATGAACATTAGATTAATATGACTGAATTCATCGATTCATGGACTCAACAATCAGGAAGTCCAATAATAACTGTTACACATAATAAGAATGGAACTGTTCGTCTGAGTCAAATATCATCTTTAGCTCTTAAATCATACAAGGAATCTCTATCTTCCAGGAATCCTGATTCTCAGGAGAATTCGATTAATTCAACTGATTCTCTGACCATGGAAAAAAATTCTCCTCATATTGTTTCGTCTTCTTCTTCATCAACAGTTCCACCAATTCCATCATCATCATCATCATCATCTAATCGATTAGTTAACGAATCATCGGTAATCTGGTTAATTCCAATAACATATAAAACTTCCGATGGATCTTCAGGATTAATTTGGTTAACTAAATCAAGTCAAGAGTATCGATTATGTGACAATTGTTCATGGATTGTGTTTAATGTTAACAAAAAGGGTTATTATATTGTTAATTATTCTCATAATCAATGGTTAACAATAATTGATGCTCTTAATTCTGAGCCTGAATCATTTTCACCGCAAACATTTACAGGTTTACTACTTGATGTTTATTATTTATTTGAACTTGGCTTAGTTGAGGTTGACATTTTTTTCAACCTAATGTCAAATGTCAAACGTTATTCATCATTGGGATCACTTTGGTTAGCCTTAAATTGGTCCAAAGTTTCATTTGCGGCTCCATCTTTTGGAGAAGGTCGCTATCTATTATATAAATATCGACGAGATTTACTTGAATCAATATACGAAAAAGTTTCAATGGTATCATCTTCATCTCCATCATCATCAATCTCATCATCTCCATCCTCATCCTCATCATTAAAAATACCTCAAGAGCCATATGACAAAATGTAAGTTGAGTTTATCACCTGATGAACATTTTTATTTTTAGGTCAATCTGGTCAACTGGTCAGCAATGTTTACCTATTGAGTAACCATCAAGTATTATTATTATTACATGAGAAAATAACGATTCTCATAATTAGAGAATTAACATTTCAACCAATGAAGAAATTTCCATTTCCATTAATATTAAATATCTTTGAGATTTTATCTGTGACTTTATTATTTAGAAAATTGAAATTCTAAAAGTAAACTTTTAAATTGGAGCTTTAGAATAAGTTTCAAGTTGTTAATTTAAATTCTGATCTAGATGAAGTTGAACTTTCAATTCCATTATATATATAAATTCACTTCGTTGCTTATCCTTGAATCGTTAGTAAAGCTTAATCAGTGAACGAAGTTTCCAAATTTACATATGACAATAATCACACACAAAATTGACTTGGAAAACAATACAATATATCCAAATGAATTTGTTTATCTTATTCATGTAGAAACAACTTAGAATCCAATTATTATTATTCGGCTAATTGTTGATGCGATTAAAAAAGTTGAGTCAATTATCTCATGGATCATGATTCCTGAACTTAATGTATAACATATAATTCATTCAATTTTTCATTCTTCCTCTTGTGAAGTTTATTCATTGTTTCATTTTTCTGATGCTTGATTTTCTTCCTCTTCCTTTATTACATTTTTTACTTTCAGGGTAATCAGATATGAACTTCTTGAAGATGCATGTGAAATGAAAGTTCCTGATTGTCTTGGAGATTCTTCAAAATATTTATCATCATGGATCGAAAATGGAACTTATATTCCAAGTTATCTACAGCATGTCGTATTTCGCCATGGAATGGCGACTTTGAATAATGTTACTTATTGGGAATTCATTTTGAATAAACTACTTACCGGTAATTTGAACGGGATTAAAGGGACCGCTTTAATCAGAGGATTATTCGCAATTAAAGATGATAATCTTAGGGAGAAAGCTTATTCCCTATTAAAGGATACAGAATATGAGATCGAAGCTTCAGTTTTAATTGAGACCAAATGTCCAACGATTTCGAGTAAACCAAATCCATCTAAATTGTCTGTACTTAAATGGTTGATTGAGACTAATTCTTATGGTTTCCCTTGGCGAAATGAGAAAAGTTCAATGATATTGAATTTAATTAATTCGGTGAACCATCAATCATCAACAGAGAATCAAATTAATTTGGTTAATCAGCTATTAGGTAATCCAGTTAATCCATTCAGTTATTCAATTAATCTATTACTATTATCACCTTCTTCATCTTCATCAATGGAGATTAAAGGTTCAATTGATTTAAATTATAAATTAAATGGAACCACAAAATATTGCTCCTTGATCATTGGATCACAATTAACTATTACAACAATCACTGTTTACTCAATTGATTTAGCTAACAATCAATTTGAACAAAGGAAACAATTAATTGCTAATTCATTTCATTATCGACGCAACAATTTGTTCATCATTGAATTTCAATCAATTCTTCAACCAGGTTACTATCTGATTCATTTAACATATTCAGGAAACTATTCACCGGCAATAATAATGATCGATCAACAATCTAATCACAATCAGGATCAAATTAACAGATCAACTTTGAGGAGTATCAATGGTCCTAAAAGTTTCGAGTTGAAAGGAGGATTCAATTTATTTCCAACCTTTAATCATTCAATTGGTTCATCTCCGAGTTTCAATATTAATCTTGTCTATCGTTTAACCGCCGCTCAACCTTTGGCCTCATCAAGTTCATCGTCGGGATCTCATGAAGGTCCAACGATAATTCATTCGGCATCAACCGCTTTTATCAATATTCTACCTGAACAATTACGAATCTATTTATCACCAGACAAGGTTCGATTAACTCGATTAATTGATTCTGACAATGGAACTGAACTTTTTTTACCATTCGATAATTCAATCTAATCGAAACAGTATCAAACTCTATTTATTGTAATTATCGACCTTTCAATTTATCTCAAAGTGTCATTTCTAATTAACTAATTAACTCTTGGAACCATGTGACAATTTAATTATCAATAATATTGTCAACACTATTTTCACTCATTAATTGATTTTGTTGATAATTAAATCGTTCGGACAAGAAGAAAAAAACTAATCACAATCAATTAATACAATTTCCATGTAAACAACATGAGCTTATGATAAGTTAATCCATAAGTTTGACTTTATCAGGAGATTAATTTAATAGCGATAATATTATCCATGGATTTGAATCAAGATTAAGATGATGGAGAGGAAAAAGAATTAAAAAAAAAGTAATTAAATGAACAAATAATTTCTTATTATAAGTTTCGTAATCTTTTCATTATATTTCATGTTCTTGATCAACTTCAATCATATCTTTTGTGTTCACGAATTAATCATGTAACACTTGAGTTTTATGAGCAAAATGATCATGGTGATTACTAAATGATAGATAAGACTCTGAATAGATGGAAACAAAAGTGCTGAGGATTAATTATCATCGGATATTAACAATTTAGCTCATTCGAGTGGCGAGATTATCCCAAGGCGTACTTACGATTCCCAAATCTTATCAATGAGAAATGAAATAATGATAATATCTTTTAATTGCTTGTTCTCTTGTTTTTCCTTGGCGATTTTCTCATCACCATGAACTCTTGAATTTCAGGTTATTTATATAAGATGCTGAGGAATGATAAATAATGAACATTGTGGATAAAAAGTTTCCACAACAATTGAAACATTTTCTTTTAATATGGAAATGAATTGAAAGTTTTCCTTTTCCTTTTATAATCTTCAGTTCCCAAATGTTATCAGTTGATTTACACGCCAGAATCTTCATGATAACATTCATTATTTTTTCTCTTTCGTTTCTTCGTTATGATCAGAGAAAAATTCACAGAACTTTTTTAATATTCCAATAAAACATCTTATATACATTTTATCCTTGGTAAATTATATAATCTTCTTATTGCTTTGGTATGAAAGTAAATTTTTCCTTTGCTTTAAGTTTGTTTATTATTAAAAACTTGATCAAATTCTAGATTTAAATTAATCCTTAACCAGAGATTTATGTTTATTATCTGAGAAGAAAATTGAATTCAAGTTCAAGGGAATTGATTGTTTATTCAGAAAACTAGATGGATGAATATTATTGATTAATCTTTTATCAAACATTAATTCATATATATTAACCTGAGATATTAATCATTTGGTATCTTTAACCAGATAAAAACACCAAGGAAGTTCATTGTTTAATGTTAATCTGATAATCTTCATGAGAGTTGATCAAGTTTAACTTTATCCTGAATCTTGAGATTTGAGATTAAAATATTTTCATGGAAAATTAATGATAAACATGGGGAACACTCACAAAGTGTTCATTAAGTTGACGATTTTCTTGAAAATTCTGATTACAATTTGTTTTTCTTTCGTTCAAAGGGTTGATCATTTATTTTGAATAAAATAATAATACAAATTGTTGGGATAATTTCACAATTTACAGAGTTAATTGTACCTTTTAGTTGAAGATATTAATTCCTTAAATGAATTCCCTGAAGTTTATCATGAACAAATCAAACCTTCTTTTTTTTGTTTTGGTTGCAAGTTTCGTCCTGAGTATAATTGGTCCAATTTTCTCGAGGTCAATCTTGTTCGATATCCATTTCTACTTGGTCAGTCTTTCGTTCATTTGAATTAGTGACAATTTCTTTACTAGAGCTTTGTACATTGGTGCTGTTATTGACCTTTATCGAAGTGGTTCGAAGGACAATAGTTGTAGTTTTGAATGAACTTCCGATTGAATTTTCACCGCTAATCGGTCGGAAACCATGAGATCGACACGATTGTAAACGTTTGGAGTTGAAACAATAACAGGACTGAACCAGAACTTCCAGATCATTCTGCAATTGCAAAGAGTTTGAATTGATTTCAAGTAAGTTTTCAGGAATCATTTAGAATTTAGATCTTATTTTATTTTCTATTAGATGTCACATTGATAAAGATAATCAAGAAGCAGTTGAAAAGTATCAGTTCGAGTTTAAAATCGAGTTTTTCTCGCATTAGAAAACCATTCAATCTGTAGAAAAGTAGTAGTTCATGAAGTAGGGTCAGGAAATTATCTCATAACGAGTAACGAATTTCAAATTGCAACGAAAAAGGAGAGGAAAATGTTCATATAAAGAACGAACTTTATACATATATTAAAAAGAGGAGAACTTATTATCAACAAGAATATTAAATGAGAGATATTCGTTGGGATGAATTGTTTATAAAAAAGTTTCGATTTTTTCGTTTCAATTGAATTATTGTAAATAAACTTATTGATAGAATTATAATTGTGCGTTAATTGTCCGTTCAATTGATTAGATTAGCTCGAACTTCATGCAAAATCATTCATTTTGAGCTCATGCATCCGCATTTGAAGTTATCGCCTCTGATTATCTGAGAAAAATGTTTGTCAACGATTAATATGATACATAAGATATACAAATATAATATTACGAGAAGGAATTGTAATTGTCAATGTAAGATTAATATTCTTGTTCTCATGATAATCAGATCAAGAGGCATGAAAATTCCGGATGTGAGATGGAAAATTTAATCGTTAGCATTACGTTTCTTCAGGCGAGAGAAAGAGATAGAGAGAGAAACATTATTTACATAAAATTATTCGTCAATATTTTTGTAAGGCGTAAATGTGTCAATTAGTGAGTGAATTTCATGTGAGAGTGTATCTCATGTATTCAGTGGATATCGTTCAGATCGACTGAAAGTTGATGGTGTTTTTTTTGTGTGTGTGTGTATGTGAGTGTCTATAGCAAAGTCACAATGATAACAATTTCGCAACGTACCAATCATTTCGTTGCTTGAATTAATTGCTGATGATCAAATGCAAACACGGTTCTATTTTTGTTTTGTCTTCATCTGATTTCAATTACATTTAAATACTTTCATTGGTATTGGGAATCAGTTAATCATGATTAGTTCGAGAATGGATAAGGTTTAATTTTTTTTCATTGTATCAATCAAATTCTTATTATTAGGTTGAGTAATAATTAGTGTCCGTTTTTTGATTGTCAAATCAAGATTTAATTTTGAAGAATTACAAAGATTTTAATTTAATTTTTTTGACTAAATGATTAAGTTGACTATCAACAATGATAATCAACAATTAGCGCGACAATTAAATTTTTTTTAATTGTTGAATTAATTAACTTAATTGTTGACGATTTTGGTCAAAAATCGGACCTTTTTTTTGAATTGGCCTAAAAATCGACCTGATTGACCTGAGGTCAATCAAAATATATGAAATAATAAGGAAATTTAATAATCTAGAGAATGGCAATGTTAATTTTCATTTTTAAATTTCGAGTCAAAAGTTATGAGGCCACTTACGAAACGGGACGGAAAATCGGAAGTGACCTTAAATTCCGTTCATATGAGAAAATTTCTTATAAGACCATCAAATTATTGAACAGTATGAAAAACTGTACCTAAAAATGATGATCAGATTTCTTAATTGTTAGAGATTAAAAATTTTGTAAAATTTTCGATTAAAAAAAGGGCAAAAATCGTAAATTTTAGCGAAATTTGACCTTTTTTGATAACCTCATAACCTTTGACTCGAATTCAAAATGAAAATTAACATTGCCATTCTTTAGATTATTAAATTTCCTTATTATTTAATATATTTTGATTGACCTAAGGTCAATCAGGTCGATTTTTAGGCCAATTTAAAAAAAAGGTTCGATTTTTGACCAAAATCGTCAACAATTAAGTTAATTAATTCAACAATTAAAAAAATTTTAATTGTCGCGCTAATTGTTGATTATCATTGTTGATAGTCAACTTAATCATTTAGTTAAAAAAATTAAATTAAAATCTTTTAGAATCATTGAGATAATTAAAATCAAAGATTCGACAATCAAAAAACGGACACTAATTATTACTCAACCTAATATTGGGCTACAAGATGAGTGTGTTTTCAATTAACAATTAATAATCTCACGATAGCAATCAGTGATTTAATGCTCCTTAAATAGCTGTTAAAAAATGACTCAAGTTTTCTGTGTGTTATTGAATGGGGATTTTTTCAATTCTTCTCAAATGTTTACAATAATTTCGTGAAAATTTCTGAAACTTTCGAGTCCTAAATTTTAGCCTGTGATTCGATTCAAATTAAAACATGTTAGTCGATACTTTCAGATACACAGATTATTCTTATAATATTTTTAAGATTTAAATAATAAAAATAATTAAAAAAAATGAGTCGTTTCGGATCTACTTTTTTCCGTTCGAAGTTACTCGAGGAAATGTATTATAACTTCTGAAAACTGACTTGATCAAAAGTTGATTGGATTTGTGTGTGTGTTCTATGTGATTTATAATTAATTCAATTCTTAAAATGAATTCGTCAATTTAGTATAATTTATAATGTAATTTCGTAATTTTTCCCAATACTTTTCAATTACATTTTACTTTCATTGGTATTAAAAGCTCATATCATTATTGGATTTTGCTTGGATTTCAAAAGTTTCACATTGTGATCATCATCGAAGATGTAATAATAATAACAGTTTGCTTGAAAAATAATAATAATAGAAAAGAAAACAATATTATATGAACAAGGGAAAACAAGATGGATACGATTTTTGAGAGAATTACAAAGTTGATGGATAAGGTGATTGATTGTGTGTGATTGATTTAAGTGTCATGTAGACGCAAAGAAAAATACTAGAGACAAATACAACAATTAGTGAGTAAATTTTAGAACAATCGAGTATTGATAATTGTACTATCATGCTTTCGTTCGGCAAAATTGAGAAGTTTGACCATAGTTACCCGGAAATTGTCGCTCATGAAACAATAGATAATCGGATTGAGAAACGAATTGGCCATTGCGAGCCAATGGCAGAGGAAAAAAAGGCCATTATGAAGGTAAAACCCGGTATCACTTCCTGGGTCAAAGATTGGAACCTCGAACCAGTAAAGGATATTAAAGATATGAAGAGGAAGCCAACATACAGCAAATAATATCACAACAACAGCCAACATTTTGATTACCTGGAGTTTTATATCATGAGGAAAAAACAACAAAGCGAGACAATATTACAAACTAATCGCAATTAATTAATAACATCATCATGTAATCAATTCTATGGGCTTCGTGATTAAAACATTTTCACTGGATTGACAAAACATGATATAACCTTTTCTGTTATCAAGCAACATTATCAAGCTTCAGTTACCTGTTGAAAAGTTTACCTGGAAACGTAAACAACTTATTATGAAAAAAAATCAAAACTCTTTTTTTTTGTTTGATTTTTTTTTTCGAGAAAAAAAATAACCAATTGGAGTAGCATTTTGATTGGCATTTAATTGAAATTTTCGCTTCGTTAATTGTTTGTAATATGGACTCTTTTTTTAGTCAATCACGTTTGTTTGTTTGTTTGGTTTGGGTGAATGTTAATAGAAGCAAAAAAGTTCAGGATTACTTTACCTTCATTTTGGCTTCGAGTTGAGCTTCATCTCTTGCAGCATTTGCATTTCCAGGGGAGATGTGATTTAACATTTTCCAAGCGATACATGTATATGTATATACTAAAATTATCATGGGAAGGATAAAGGTTATCAAAAAAATGGCCACAGTGTATGTCCTTTCGGCTAAAGGTGATGGCCAAATTTCACGACAAATGTAGAAAGTTTCATTACCAAAATACTCTGGAACTGCTTTACTGTGGATTATTTGAACTGATGAAAGGGATAATGCTAAGAACCATATTAGACCAACGGTCAGTTTACCACGAGCTTTGGTCCAATTTGTTGAGCTGAATGGATTCATAATCGCACAATACCTGAGGGTATAAAAGGGAAAGATAATATTATTAATCCTTCTTGATCTTTCAATTTTTTTTCCACCCACAGATAAGATACAATGTTCATGATAATAACATGATACAAATAGATTCATGTATCGAGTTTATTATTATCTGATAATAATAGAAAACAAACAGATAAAGATTAGGAAAATATTCCGGATATCAATCATTATCTCTCTGTATGAATAAATCCTTCATGAATTCATCTGTTAGCATGGGAATATTTTCCTTTCTATCTCTTGATTCCTATCGATTCCTCTTATTGTTCTGATTATAGTAAAATCAGTTAGCGATTTGTAATCAAATGGAATCAAGATTTATAATCGTATTTGGATTAACTCAAATAAATTATTGTCTTATAATAAAATTAATCCTGATGGTTGAAGCTATTGATTAGAATGGTGGAAACGGAAGTAAGTCCTAAAATAGACACTCAAAGGTTTTTATTGATCATTTAACAAGAATTTAATCAACCATGTGACAAGAAATTTTGTTGAATGTTGAAAGGGAAAATTCTGTAGATTATTTGATGGAAAAAAAAGTTTTCTATTCAATATTCAATGTTAATATTATCATTATTATTATGTAGATTTTACAGAATTCATTTAACTGGAAACTTAAGGCTCATCGAAATCTGTCAAATTCAGACTTTCCGTTTTGAATAGATGTAACTTGAGAATCTTTATCATGATACTTTCGCTGGATATCAGGATAACGATTAAGATGAAAAGGAAATTTCAATTCGTTGAAAGTTCAACACTTTCATTTACTCTCAATTTACTTGGAAATTTCATTATTCTTGTTTCGATACTGATTCGATCATTTCAACGATTACTCTAAGCTTATCACAGGAAATTCTGTGCTCATGTATTTCATGGATTCTATCAGAACCAATTGACTATTCCTATAGTTTCCTGTCAAGTTCCGTTATCATGGAGTAAATTTCAGTATCATTTTTCATGAGAATCAGAAAACTTTGAGAGAAAAGAAAAGCTAATTTCAACATTATGTCTTATTCATTAATCCAAGATGTGGATTGGGATTGAATTGCTAATTCTAGTAATTAATCAATCATCGAATGCAATCAACTAACTAATAATTAACTCTCAAAACTTTTGCTAAAAACTTTACTAGACTTTTATATAAAGTTGGTTAAAGAAATTAATAAATTTAATATTCAAAATTAACACTAGTCAATAATTTATTCCTGTTTAATGATAATTTCATGATAATTTATGGCAATTTCAACATATTTAAGTCATGAAGGTATTTTAATATGATCTTAGTCAATTGGTCCCTTTTTACTTATTAATTTCTGGTTGATCTAAATTTTTTTTAATAATATTTAGATAAACTCAACTAAACTTATCAATGCTCATTATATGTCATCTGCTTATTTTGTTATGATTAAATCAGATATAATTAACTCTTGCAGAATGATATTCATGGTGACAATTTCTAGATATGAGTTTTCTTACACTATTCATCTTCAATATACCTAAAGAATATCATATAATCATATTGACTCTCTCTCTCTCTCTCTCTGTCTTATAAGAATCCTCGTTATTATTATGATAAGAAAATCACCAAGTCTCATCTTTGATTATCGCCAATTAATATTTCTTTGCTCAGAATTTATCATGAAAAAACAAACTCAGTATGCCAGTTATTCAATGGAAAATAATTCGAGACTCAATTTCCGATTGGTTAGATATTTTCTCGTTCTCATTTTCATGATGTCTCATGGATAAGTTTGCAATCTCAAAAATACAGATGCATTTAATGGACAACTGATGGATGACCATGAATTCTAATCGACCATCCAAAGGAACAGGAAATTGGAAAGGTGCTTAGATGTAAATGATCATAGTCATAGATACAAAGTATAAAAGAACAAGTCAGAAAAATCGAGAGACTATGATTCTTGGAATCAAGGTGAGAAGAAGAAAAAGAAAAAAAAACGATAATGATTTCGATAATGTGATAAAGTGATAGGAAAAAAATGTTATCAAATCAATACCATGAGAATATGATATTCACCATTAGCTAAACCATCGTTCGTATGAAAAATCATTTTGAAACTCCTGTTACCATGAGCTGAATTAAAGAGAAAATAATCTCACTAATATATTGAATCTTATTTACGTTTGAAACACAAAACGCTCTATAATATCTAAGAATATAATCAAACCATGAAACAAAGAAACGATTAGAACCTTATGAATGATTAGATTGCCTGAATTCTGAGGAAATCGAAGCAGAATAATAATAATAAATAACGATAAAAAAGAAGATACTTTTTTTCGTTTGGAGAAGAAAAAAATGACTCTATTCATTTCCATGGTGACAATGAACGAGTAATGATTCATTTTAATCGTTTAATTTACTCAATAGAAAAATCCATGAACAAAGCCTGAGAACTGGAACTTTTTTTTACTACAGACTTAACAAAGATACTTTTTCAATTGTTATCCAGTTTAATTGTGAATTAAGGATAAAACCAAAGGGGAACCTTTCATTATCAGGCAATGTAAACAATTCAATCACAGTTATATAACTTTGAATTGTCATCTCACCCTCTCTCTCTCTCTCGGTGAAAATCATGGGAATATAAAAACTCATTTACTAACATTTGGATAGGTATTAACACCATGATAATTCAACTCTGAAATTAACATGAAAAACTCCAGGGATTCAGTTTTGATAAGCTTTGAAATAATAACCTTGTAAATGGCATGAAAAAGTCAACATACTCCAATATTATGGTTAGAAATTTACTTGATTAAAACCCCACAATCAAGGTAAATGTCAAATTATCAACATGAAGAGATATATTTATTTATATATAACCAGATTGATTAGATTGATCAATCAGTAATCAGTTTAATTGTTAACAATGTTTGACTGGAAATAATGACAACAATTAACTGTTGGTTTTTTTTTATCAATGTGTGTGTATAAATATAATTTGCTTTGTTTATTTGGACAATCAAATTGGCTTCAATTAATGTTTGATACCAAATAGTAATTGTAATTAAAGGTAATCACATTTATTAGGCTTAATTGTCATCATTCAATTGTAATCATTTAATTGTTACGCTACTTTTTTATTTGTATATTACAATTGTAAGAGTTGTGGTTGAGCAAATATTATAAATGAGAAAAAAAGTTCTGTCAATAAAATCACATAATCATAATTATTAAATTATCGTAATCAGGGAAAACTATTAATTATATTATTACCCTGTAATATAATGATAATATCTCAAGTTATATAAATATAATTGTTGATGATGATCAGCTTGATTATATTAAACTGAATGTTTAATTTTCAATTGAAATTTCAAAGTTATATTATGATAAAAAAAACAACAACAATCAAAATGAGGTTAACCAATTTAACCAGCAATTTAAATTGCAAAACATTTCAAACAAATGAGATTTCATCTTAAACCCTTTCATCTTGATCATTAAATTCATTTTCATCGTGATTATCATTTCATAGGAATATAATAATAATAATAATGTTTATATGATGATATTATTTTTTTTTCTTACAGAAAAAAAGTTCAATTTTCTTATGATTAATATTAACAGTTTGTGTCATTAACTAAATTAATGATTATGATGGTAGATTAACTTAGTGTTGATCGATTCATTGGGAAGAGAAAAAAAAATTATAAATCATGTTAAAAGTATTTAGATAAACTTGTGAGTTTACAGAACGAACCAGAACTTTTTTCGTTACGAAGTTGTTGCAAGTTCGATAAAAAAAAATAAACAAAATAATCTTCGTTTGTTATTATTGTGATTGTTGTTTACTTTTTGCTCTCTCTCTCTCTCTCTCTCTCTCTCTCTCTCTCTCTCTCTCTCTCTCATCCTTCGTCATCATCCTCATCCGTATCCCTAAGCATCAATAATGGAAAAGTCAATTTAATCTGATTTGATTTTTGTATCTTCTTCTTGTCAGTTTTTATTTTGTGTTCGGAAACTTTTTCAAAAAAAAGTCCAACTCATTTATCCCGAGCATTGATTTGATGGGCTAGAAAACCGAACACTAAATTAGATTGTTAATGACAAATCAAATTAATTGAGTAACTAGGTTGGAAATCCTTTGATTCAGTTAATTGGAAGAGCTTGATGATGATCATCATTTACCATCATGAGGAGAAAAGGAGAAAAAAAAATTCAACTTCAACTAATAATAAGACGAAAACTATTAACTTGATAATAAGTTGATGGAGGAAAAAAATAGATGAAAATGAAATTGGTTCAACTGATAAATCACTTTCGGAATCATTATCATGATCATCTGATAATCATTTTCATTTGATATCGAAATGTTTTCGATATTGTTATTACATTACTTTCCCTCTCTCTCTCTCTCTCTCTCAGTTCTTGTAAGGTCTTGGATAAAATCACCATGAAAGTCTATTCAATGATCGTTTCTCTTGCTCAGATCAGAGCAACAAACTTTCATATTATAATCTCGACAAAGTTAATCCTTGACAGTTGAATAAAAATCTCCAGAAAAAGTTACATGTTTTGTGGTGAAAGATTTTTCCTTCTTTATCATCTATTTACTATTCATTAGATTTTGGTCAATTCTATTTAGTATCATGAGTATATATGTGTATTTATAGCATGATGAATCTTTCATGTAAGACTCATGTTTGTTGAACACTTTCAAATGAACAGAGCATTATCCTGATCATGTTTGTTTTTCAAATCCTTCAAGTGGTAAAACTTGAAATGTTCACAACTTAATCAATGTTTAATCAGATTGTGTAAATAGAATCAATTTCAATCTTGTTTTCAAATGATTTTCGGACAATTAATTCAAATAAAAACATTTTGTTCCAAATTAATCAGTGACCATTGGTCATTCAAAAGAGTTACACATTTCAATACTCTCGAACTTTTTTTTTCTCTAAAGTTCTCAACTGACAAGTTCCAGAGTTTCATTGGCAGAATTT